AAGATCCTCTGGCTTAAGGTTTTAGTCCATTTATTCTCCTTCCTACTACTCGTGATATTATAGTTATGAAGCTTTTATCTGTCTTTTATTGCAGTCTGCTTCCCAGTCTTTCTTGGAAGTTGATGGAGGTATACATTATAAATAGATAGCTACATGTAGTCCAGTTTTCCCCATTATACAGAGGAGAAAAGGGAGGAATTTGCCCAAGTCAAACAGCAAGTTGGTGATGGAGCTGGGGCTAGATGCCAGGTTTCCCAACTTCTAGTCTCAGGCTTTCAGTCTCCCTGACTAGAGTATAGGTTTCCAGAGCGCTAGAAGCAGTGTCTCCTAACTTCAATTCAAACCACCCCCAACTGCTCTGTGTACAGGTTACCTGTGGTCACGCCGCCACCTGCCGTGCTCCCCTAAGAGCTGGGGATGCACGTGTGCGCCCTGCGGGACGCGCGCCCCGAGAGCGCGCTGGGGGCCTTCCCGCCCCTTCCCTCCCTCCCTTGCGGTAAACTCCCGACATCCATCAGTCTGTTAATTGCACTAATTAGAGATCGCGGAGGTGTTAATTGGAAAACCCTGGTATTGTGCCTGTTTGGGGAAGAAAACGTCAATAAAAATTAATTGATGAGTTGGCAGGGCGGGCGGCGCGGGTTCGCGGTGAGGCGCAGGGTGTCGTGGCAAATGTTACGGCTCAGATTAAGCGATTGTTAATTAAAAAGCTACGATAATTAGTACTCCCTACACCATATGGGCCCGCGGAAAAGGCACAAAAGATCTTTCCGCGTGTGGGGCTCCCTGCCCCTTTTCCCCGCGCCCGAAAGTACCCTAGACTTTTGAGTCTTCCCTTTGGCCCCAAGGTAGGTGCAACTCGTCACTTCCGCCCAAGGAGGGGACAGGGCGGACCCGCGAGTTCCCAGGCGTCCCTCGCTGCGCGCCTGCCGGGGTTCTTCGAAGGGTCAGGAGCCTCGGGGGAAGTGGGAGCCCCCAGTGGCCCACAGACTCCCCCAAAGCGGAAGAGGCGGCTGCGGCTTTGACCCAGCTTCCTTCCTGCGGACGGCAGGCACGTCTGCGGGAGCTTCGGGGCCTGCGGGAGCTTCCGAGCCCGGCTGAGGGCGCTGAGGTGCCCCGGCTCCCGAAGGGGATCCCTGAGAGATGGGAGACTAGCACCTGCTTAAGGGCAGGACCAGAGCCCTAGACAGAAATCTTAGACCACCTGAAATAACGCAGGCCACGGTGGCTCTCTCCTGCGCCCAGCTCAGGGTAGGAGAGGGACCTGGAAAGGCTGGGGTGGAGGATGAGAGCCTCAATGTTAGCGAATCCTAGAAAGACCTCTACTTCCCTCCTCTTTGCTTGTTGTATGATGGCAGAAAGAGCAACGGAGTCACTTGGGTGAGGGCAGGGATATGCCCAAGGTCACACAGCAGCCCTGAAAACCAGGTGGTCTAATTCCCAGAGCTGCTCTCCTTCTCTTCTGCAGGTGTTCAGCTGCTCTAGGCTGAGGAGATGGGTGAATAGGGGAGGAGCGTGGATGGGGAGGGAAGGAGTGTGTGGAGAGAGAGAGAAGGGCACTGTGAAGGGAGGAGGGGGCCCTTGGACGGTGCTCCCCCAGTACCAGAGCAGGCAGCACCAGTCTATGTTGGTGGAGCCCTTTGGGAAAGGGACCATGGCTGTGACTCAAATGGACCCTCAGTGGCTCAACCAGCCACCAGAACCCTGTGGCATCATGTGCATGTGCTGGACTAGGGAGTTTTACTCCTGGAGCTTCCAGGTCAGTAGAGACCTTCAAGACCACCTCTCCATGTAGAGATGGGGAAACTGAGGCCCAGAGAAGGAGGAAGGCAAAGAATTCACAGCTGATTGTGGCTGAGCCCAGGCTCCCTGACACCCAGGCCCCTGCCTTCTCCTCTAGCCAGGGTCCAAGGTCCCATGGACACTGGCTTCCTCCTCCATACCCCACACCTTTGTAGTTACAGCACCCCACTCCATCCCATCCCTAGCTGTCTGGGCCCCAGGCACCCAGAGCCTGCTCACCCACAATGCAGGGAACACCCCAGTGCTATTGCAACACCTGGTGGAGGGGCGGGGCAGGAGGCGTGAGGCTGTGGGTGTGCTCATCCTCAGAGGGCAGGTGTCTCAGGGCAGAGGTGAGGGTGTGGAGATGCCTGGGAGCACCCACCCGCATGCAGGTTTGTGGGGGGTTGTTGGTGGGCAGGTGGGAGCACAGAGGAGGTGAAGGCCCTGGGAAGGGGCAGAGTGTGCCGGGGGAATTAATGCCATTCATACACCCTGCAGAAATGACTTTTCAAATGCATATAATCTCAAGCATGCAAATAAGAGGCTTGCTTCACCCTGTTTAATATGAATGATCGGTCCTTGAATAGCTATTATTACATGCCACATTGCAGCAATTATGTTGTTCACTGGGTGTCGCTCTGAACCCCCCCCAATAAAAAGAAAAGAAAGGGACACCTCTGTTTGCATCCTCCTTCCTTTTTTCTCCTTTTTTCCAAACTTACTGTCCGATCTACAACTTTCTGGTGTGTGTATGTTGGAAGAGGGCACTCTCCCTTACCCCAGGGAAGTAACTGCTGGATTCTCTCCTTTCTGCTGTACACACACACCCCTGAGGCTCTGGTCTTTGTCCCCTGGGGCCCAGGAGTTCTCAGATCTCAGGGAAGCTAGACTGGAATCAGGGCAGGCAGCTGCTCTCCACCCCCAGCAGGGCCAGGGTTGGGGGAGAGGAAAAGCAGAGGGGGCCCCTGCTGTCTTCCCATCCCCCCTCATGTAGCTGGAGCCCAGGCCTGAGTGGGGGAAGGTGCTCTGTAGGCTGCTGGGAGGGATCAGGGTGGGTAGCTGGGAGGAGGGGCTGGAGCCTTGTGCTCTGGCGGGTGGAGGACAGCGCCCACCCCATCCATCATTTGGCAGCCACTGGCCCTCAGGCTGACACAGCCATTAAGGCCTGAGACCGAATGCTCAATCTCTTCCGAACCATCGCCCCCAACCTCGCCCTCGCCTTCGCCCCTGGCCCAGCTCCTCTCAGAACCCAGGAGTGGGAGCGGCAGCTGGAGGTGGGTTGGCAAGCCCTTGGGAACACACAGAGAAATGCACCAACGTGGTACACTCCAGCAGCATAGGGTCTCTCAAGAGGCCACACAGAGCCGCTGGGACAGAGACACCTAGAGTCACAGATGGAGCGGGCCCATGAGAGCAGTAATGTGGCACATATGTGAATTGGTGGGCTCCTCATGGACCTCTGGCAGCTCTCTGTTCCCCCACCCCCATGCCCTCACACTTCTCCCCACTCGGCTTCCGGCAGGGACAAAAACAGCAAGTGGCCCAGTAGAGTGAGGAAAAAGAGTTCTGGAATGAAAGAGAATTTGTGGGCAGGAGGGAGATGCTCTTGGGAGCTGCCCCCTTGGGGAAGGAACTAGGGAAATAATCCAGTATCTTCCAGCTGTTTCTCCCTATTCTGCCACCTGCAGGGTTCAAGGAGACCATGTGGCTGTGGGGTCTGCCTAGGCCAGAAGGGAATCAAGAAGGGAGGAAAGAACACTGGCTGCTCCACAGGCCCTGTGGCTTCTGCCCCTTGCTCTCTGTGTGATCAGGACCAAGTCTTTGACCTCTCTGAGCCTCCGGGTCTTCACCCTTACAAATAGGGCAGGTGGGGAAGGGGCTGAGTGGAGCTTACTCTGCCAGGGGGTTTATCTGTGCTGTTTTATTTACTTCTGGAAAGACTAAGAGGCTGCGGTTAATTACTTCTACAGACAAAGAAACTGAGACTTAGGGAGTTTAAGACGAGTGTCAAAGATGGGTAGTGGCTACCGACCGTGTTCTGTTCCAGTGAAATCCGTGTTCCTCCCAAGGGGCTGTGGCTTTGGGGATACTTGGGCACACCCCGACTTTGAGAACACCTCTGCATACTGCAGTTCTCCCATCGGCATGACGGCAGGTGTGCACAAGCCATGAGATACTGGCGCCTCCGTGAGATGTGGAAGGAAGCTCAGGCCTCCTCCTCACTACCCTTGACCATCTCAAACATACTCTCTCTTTCTGGGAATGTTTCCACCACTCCTTGAGAGGCCATTGGGGGAGGGCACAGGATTCAGGCCTTGACTCTTTACCTTGGGTAAATCCTCTAACTCTCTGGACCCTCAGTTTACCCATCCATAAAATCAGGATCATCATAACTCTCTCTCACGATTCTTGTGAGAAGGAATCGTGGTGCCTGTAGAAACAGTAAATATGACTGAGTGTCCTCTTTTGGCCGAGTGCTGGGCTGAGGGCTTTAGAATGGAAGTTCGGAAAAGTGGGATCCCAGCTGCCTTCACTGCACAGCTCTAGGCCCGGCTGGCTGAGTGGCTCTTAGTGGGTGCTGGGCAAATGGCAGCCATTTTTGCTGTGGAACAAACACTGATTAGAGCCTTTCTGTGTCCTGGGGAAGGAGACTCTATAAGGAGGCCCTGCCCCTGGGGAACATACACAAAGGTCATTACAGGTATGTGTTGGGGGGGTGGGGGAGGCAGTATGGTGGGTCCCAGTGAATGGCTCATCCACTTTTAAGTCCTGACAGGACCCTTGCCCACCCATCCCTCCCTCCCTCCCCAATGCTGTAGCCTGGAGGGAGAGGCCAGAACAGGTTTAGGACCCCGGAGGGGTTGGTTGAAGGCATCCCTCCCCTTCTTCCCTGCTGGGGTCTCCTGGCAGTCGAGGAAGTGTGGGGGAGGAGGGCAGCGGGGCAGCCTCAGCTTCAGTCTGCAGCTGCCCCTTACCTGCCCTAAGGGGAGGGTGACATTGGGAGGGGCTGCGACCCAGGAGAGGTCCCTGGAGTGGCCTCCTGGGTGAAGAGTGAGTGAAGAAGAGATGCCGCAGGACTGGGGGTGGGGGGATTAGGTGGAGGTGGTCCTGTTGTTTGGGGGTGGTGTGGAGGGGCATCAGTTGCTGCCACCGGTGGAACAGCCGGTCCAGCCTGGAGCCTCAGCCCCTCCCCTGTGTCTCTCCTCCCCCTCTAGGTCCCGCTAGAGCGACATGATGGTGGAATCCGCCTCGGAGACAATCAGGTCAGCTCCGTCTGGTCAGAATGGCGTGGGCAGCCTCTCCGGGCAGGCCGATGGTGGCGGCGGGGCCGGGGCTGCGGGCACAGCCGGAGGTGGCGCGGGCAGGGACACGGCCCCGGGCTCAGACAGCAATGGCGAGATGAGCCCTGCGGAGCTTCTGCACTTCCAGCAGCAACAGGTAGGAGCTGGCGCCCCTCCCTGGCGACTGGGGAGGGGGAGAGGAGCACGCCAGGTCTCTCCCTCTACATCCTGGCAACCTGGTGCCACTGCTCCCTGCCGAGCAGCCTCACTTTAATCTTCTTGAGAAGGTCCAGCCTGCAGGGACTCCCTCTGCGCCCTCCCATTCTGGTGGTTGGGGAGAGCAGTGCTCCCAAAAGAGAGAACTGAGACTCGGGGGGCCCTGAGATCATGGACCTCAGAACAGTCTCAGAAATGCCCACAAGGACAGACAGCCGCCTGGGCAGCAGGCTTGAGAGTATGCGTCTTGGGGGGGTGGGCACGTGGGCTCTCCTGCACACTGGCTAAGTTAATGGCGTTGGGGTAGGGAGACCCCACTTTAGGTGTGTGCTCATTGGGAGAGGGAGTCTGCGTGTGTGCTCATTGGGAGAGGGAGTCTGTGCACACAGGGGTATCTTCACTTTATTTGTATTGTCAAACATTCCCCACCACCATCTCTGCCTGGGCCCCTGATCCAGGCTGTGAAGAGATTAAACTTCCAGGCACCAGGGGCCAAAGCAGCTGGGGAAAGGCAGGCCTCCATTTTTCGAGCTCCAACTGGGAACCTTTCTCTGCATCCCCCTCCCCGTTTCCCCCCTCCATCATTCCTACTCTAAACTGCAGAGTTCAGGAGTTCAAGACCAGCCTCTCTGAGGATCGAGAGGCCCTAGGGTGGGGAGCCTGGTTGGGTGATGACGGAGCAGGGGCCCCAGGACCCAGCCCCACCCGGGAAAAAGGGAGAATCATGCTTGACGAGTTCAGGAGAACCGGCCCAGCCAGCCCTGGCCTTGGGATTCTCCTTCTCTTATTTGACTCTCTGCTGGTGGCACTGCCCCTTGTGGGCTCTGCTGGGAATGCGGAAAAGTCTATCCTGTGTGCGCTTCCTGGCCCATGCCCCCGCCCCTGCCTCTTGTGTGCACAGATGTGTGTACCCACATTGCCCTCCTGCTCTCTCCCAGCTCCACCCTGGGGCTACTCTCCCCACTGCATAGCCCCTAAGGGGCCCTTTCCCACCACACTCCTTGGAGCCAGAGGTCAGAGTGGAAGCAGTACTGTCGGATGCCCAGCACCCTGCACTGAGCTGGTCAGCCAGCACTAATGCAGGAATTGAACAAACCCGGGTTAAGTCCCATTCCCTTACCAGCCGTGTGACCTTGGTCAAGTCCAAGTCCGGGGCCTCCCTGAGCCTTGGCCTCTTTGGCACCTAAATTATGGGCGTTGTTAGGATCAGATGCAAGTGGGGTGTGAAATCCTGTACACACTGACTGCTCTATGTGGATGTGAACAGAATTGAGGACTTTAAAAATCACTTCCTCGGGGCCAGCCTAGTGGTGTAGTGGTTAGGTTCGCATGCTCTGCTTCGGCGGCCCAGGGTTTGCAGGTTCGGATCCCGGGTGCGGACTACGCATCGCTTATCAAGCTATGCTGTGCAGCGTCCCACACATAAAGTAGAGGAAGATGGGCACAGATGTTAGCCTGGGGCCGCTCTTCCTCAGCAAAAAGAGGAAGATTAGCAGTGTATGTTAGCTCAGGGCTAATCTTCCTCACAAAAAAAAAAATCACTTCCTCTTGCAAACAGGGGAGACTTGAGCAGAGCGGGCCTGTCTCCTTTCCCCAGAGAGATGGTCCTTGGGAGTTTGTTGGCGTCTTTCCTAAGCAGGTTCTCCGGGGAAGAGACCCACAAAGTCAGTGCCGTCTACTGGGGACAGAAGGTCAAAGGGCAAAATCCTGCCCTTTATCAAAATAATAACAAAACACACCCCCCCAGAAATCTCCAAGGCCCCCCATTTAGTGTGGCCAGCTCTTTCCCTTCCACACCTCTATGCAGACAGAGCTAAAAAGTTTGCAGAAAAATTTTGAATGTGGTGAGGGGGCCAGGGGGAATACTGAAACTGGAAAGTTTCTTTTAAAAAAGTATTTAAAGACAAGAGTGGACACAGATATTTGGATAAGTGGGGAGAAGTGTGGAGTGGGAAGAGACAGAACTGTCTATACCGACCAGGTTTCTGCCTCGCACACAAGCCGAGTTTTACCCTCTATATTCCATGTTCCAGTTATCCCTGTTTGTTTTGGGGAATATCCCAAAGTCCTGGAAAATCCTATATCTGTTTCACAAATAAACTGGGGTGGAGATTTGGAGGCAGGAGGAGGGCTGTTTTATCCATTTGGGCTCACTATGGGCGTAGTGCCCGGGGCCAAGGAAAATATTTGAGACTTAAAAAAGGTTTTGTTGGCTCCAGACTATGAAGAGAACTCTTCAAAATTAAAATTACAAAATTTTCAATTAAAATGAAACAGAATGTGGGCCATCCTTCCACCCCCAAGGCTTTTGGGGGAGCTTCAGGGGTAACACTTTCTGGAACCCCCAAAAACAATTGTTTCTGACTATTTACGAGGTAAGCCAACTATAGGAAAGAGGGCCTGGCCCAGCAGGTTCCTCTCCCTCCCGACCCCAGCCTTCTTTGAAGATGAACAAACAAATACTTCGTGTCTGTTAGGTGCTTTGGATCGTTCACGTTCGCTGTGTCGTGTGGCCACGTTGCCATCCCTGGGAGGTGGATATTATTATTCCCATCTTGCAGGTGAGGGGGCAGCCAGGGGTGGCACTGACTTGTCCAGGTGACACAGGAAAGGCCACAGCTAGACCTCAGGTCTCCCAGTTCCTAGTTCAGGGCTCAGCCCAGCCTCCTGCACTCACACGGTCCCCTGTGGGAAATGGAGGGAACAAGGTGTGGGATACAGTAGGTGCTAAGTAAATGTCTGTTGGGGGAGTGAATGAGAGCACTCCACTCCCAACTTAAAAACGCCCTTAAAACAAGAGCAACAGTGCCCACTGGCCCTAAGTAGCCCCTCCAGAGGACGGAGGTTGCGGGTGGGTCTGCACTGGTGCTGTCCTCCTCCTTGTGCCTCCTTGGGGCTCCTCGCCCCTCTACCTCTGTCCGTCTGTCTGTTGGTCCCTGTCCCTCTGCTCTGGGTAAACAAGCCCTGGAAATGAAATCTTGGCCTTTGGGAGTAATGAGTTGACGAAGGAGAGAGAGAGATAAACAGGGCGAGTCAGAAGTCAGGCCAGTGACAGGACTTTAGGCTGAAACAAACAGTGCTGAAGAGGGCAGCCACGTCACTTTGGAACAAGAGCAGGCGCCGTTTCCATGCAACAGCAGGCAGGAGCTTGTTTAAACAGAGGCTGGGGCTGGGGGTGGGGGCTGACGGGGCTTGGCTGCCAGGCCCTGTCGACTAGAGAGGGGGTCCCTGGCTCGCTGTTCTATTTCAGCAGTCAAGGCTCCAGCTTCTCGCTCCCTCCTCCCAACTCCTTTATTGGTGAGTGACAGAGCCACAGCACCTCTGCCCTTGGGGCTTTCCAGAGTCTCCAACCTGAGCCCCTCACAGAGAATCTAGCCTGAGAAGGCACAGGAGTGTGGGAGCCTCGGAGCATGCATTCACTCAGCAGAAACGCACTGAACCCATTTTGCGCCGGGCACCCTGCTGGCCAGCTGGAGTTGATGGTCCCCAGCTGCTGTTAAAGAAAACCCTGGACCCAACAGACCTGCCAGCTGCCCATCCATCCCCTGCCCTCACCAAGGCGCAGTCTCCTTCCTCGTTGGCCGCTCCTCCGTATTCCCCTCTGTGATGGCTTTTTTCTTTGCAAGTTGCTCTCGAGTTTCATCCTAATCTCATTTCACCTGTATGAAAATGTCCCCAGTGTGGGGGGGGTGTCCCCAGGGACTGCACCAATACCCTTTGGGCTCTCCGATGGGGGGCAGTGAGGGCTGGGATAAGTGCGGGCCAGCTTTGGGGAGGTGGAGGGCCTGGGCAGGTCTTGGGGACCCGACTGGGCGCTCTGGCCCAGGAGAGGTGGACTTGGGGCCTGGGAGGGCTGAGCCTGGTGGGGAGGGGGCGGGCAGAGCTGCTAGCCGCCTGAGCTGAAAGGCGTCCTGGGCCCCCAGAGCTCGCACTCCCATTGTCCTCGGGTTGCGGGGGTGATAGGTCAGTGAGGGTCACGGGAGGGTTGCCCAACGTCTGGGAACTCCCACCGCCGTTGCCGTGGCAACCGGGGCCAAATCCCACCCTGTTCACATCCTGTGAGGAGATTCAAAAGGGTCGGGGGGCTCAGCACAGTAATGGGCTTTTAACTCACCCCCCTCCAAAGAGATGGGGGGTGTCAGGGAGTGGGGAGAGAGGGAAAGAAGAATGGAAGAGATTTTTGTTTTCTTCCCCCATCTGGCTCTCCGCTGTCCAAGCTACTTAGGGGGAAGGGGCGGGAAGGGGAGGCTTCAGAGGTGAATTAGCGCACCCCCGCCTCACACACACTGTCCACAGTTGTCTTCAGGTCTGGGGCCCATTTCTTCAGTCTTGGGACCCACCCTCATGCCCCACATTCTGCTCTTTCATCTCTGTTCCCACACCTTCTGGACTCTCTTCTTTCTGTAGAATGAGCCCCTCCCCAGGAGATGCTGGGGGCCTGGAGAGAGAGTTGGGGCCCACACCCCCCAGGGGAGAGACCTGGAAACTTTGCATGATGAAGTCCCTGATTCTCCAACAGCTGTGGGGCGGTGCTTAGAAACTGCCCCTCCCTCCTCTGCCTGGGAACAGAGGGCAGGTGAGTGGGGGGCGGGGTAGTAAGGGGAGGGGAGTTTGTGAGAGGATGTGGCCAGGAGAGGGCCTAACCCCTGCTTCTTGTACCCCTCCTGGGTTACTATGCCACCCTGTTTTGTGTGTCTGCATCCTAGTCCAACAAAAAAGGAAGTTTCCGTAGGAGGGAGCTATGCTAAGACCAGAGGGAGAGGTAGTGGCGAGGGCCCAGGGCCGGGAAAGGGATCCCCAGGCCCCTGCTTTCTTGGGACCTGGAAGGAGCCAGCCCACTCTACCAGCAGGCTTCCCTCCTGATATGGAATTCAGAGACCCTGTCTTTTTTCCCCCTGTCTCTCACTCCCAGAGTTCTTGTCCTTACTGATTAGGAGTTTG